GACTTGCCCCATATAAAAAAAGAAACAGAAACAGACTGGGGCCCCTGTGCTTATGCGGGGCCCTCTCTCCTAGAGCAGAGACAGCAGTTGCAGCCCTTCCAAGGGTAGAGCTTTTTTGTTTTTACTCTCTATATCAGGAGTGAATTGTTCTTCTCCGGCAGTCGTGTACCCTTTGGGGGACAAACATAGCAGATGCTCTCCGAATGTTGACTTTTGTAACTCTCGCTTGCAGGTCAGGAAAGCCCGGATGCCAGGCACTCTGGGACTCTGCTCAATCTCACTTTGCTACCTATAATTTCAAACAACAAGTAGGATGTGTGTTTCTCTCATTTCCCCCCAGGCTATAGACTACCTATAAACTCTCATCAAATTCTCGGCACCACATCAGAAGCAGGTTCAACATCTAACAGTATGGTCAGATTTGTTTTACTCCAATTTATTTCGCCTAAAAACTTTTAGTCTGCTGTACTCAAACACGAGGGTTAGTCCAAAAATTCCTCAGCGTGAATATACAAGGTCCGGGGAACGTAGTCTAGCTCCAACTTTCCTGTTTCACACTGATTTATCTACTTCTACCATTCCCTTCCTCTCTCCTTCCCTTCACATCCTCTGCCCACATGCACCCACACCCAACTGCTACTATCTCCCCCTTCCCTAAACACCACTCACAAATAACACCAGATCAACAACTCACGGAGAACCTTGGATCAGGCATTTGTCTTTGCCAGGAAATGATCTATTTTACATACAAGTCTATACTTCCTGCAACATAAATTATACCTTCCCTATTCCCCCAGAGACTTGGCCCTGCCCCTTCTCTGTGTCTCTCACAACGAAAAAGAACTGATTGTTATTCTTCTCTAGACTGAGTTCAGGGACTCTGATGTCCTTGTGCTGTGTCTTGAGGGAGTTGCCTTCACTTACTAGAAGGTCTGGCACACGGTGGGCATCACTGAATGCTGAGCGGCCACTAACAGGCAGTACATAAGCGGGATATTGGATATTGTAACAATTTCCTTTTAAATTGTTTTAAAAATCGTAAGTGCACCCTTTGTGCCAAAGTTTCCCAGAAATTTACTAAGTGGAAAAGTCTGCTGAAGAACTAACAACCAAAAGGTTATAAGTAAATGTTCAACTCTAGATGTTTGTTATTCACGCTGACATTGAGTATCATTGATGAGCTCTTTTGCCTTTATGTCCTCCAATTTAGTCATTTTCAAATATCTTCAATGATATTATTATTTATGATCGTTCTGAACTGGCGTTTTCACTCCGCTAGTAGCCACTAATGGTACAAATGATATATTTTTGAAGAGTAAACGTATTTAGAATATGTGACAATGAAAAATGCATACAACGGCATATCGCAAGCATACTCTGTAACAATCAGTAGTATAGCATATGCGCTCCGGCGTCCTAACATAATTGTGATCCTATAAGAGCGCGGTAGCGCCTTGCTTCCCGTTGCGCGCACCGCCCCCCATTCCACCCCCCTTCATTTTTTTTTGTATTTCGAGGATATACGATCGCGAGCCGAGTCGCCATAAGCACGCATTTCGTAGTTAAGGGGTAAAAATGTACGAGCAGCGAGCCCATCCTAGTGTGGGGCCTGCAAAAAAAAAAAAAAGAGACCCACAACAAGCTTTTCCTTCAGTAGGTAGCCACCTGGGAGCCACTTGAGGATGAACCACTCAAGGAGGGTTCATGATGACAGGTGGAAGAAGCATAGAGGTGTGTAGATACAACAGGGAAGATAGCAAAAGTTAAGGCCCGAAACTTGCTTAACTGAAATGCTCTGTACCTCTTCTCTCCAAATCCATAGAGCATCACACGTAAGAGACGTTATGTGGCCTCAGTGTCCCTACATGACCGGATCTACGTCATTGGTGGCTATGATGGCCGTTCCCGCCTTAGTTCAGTGGAATGTCTAGACTACACAGCAGATGAGGATGGGGTCTGGTATTCTGTGGCCCCTATGAATGTCCGACGAGGTCTTGCTGGAGCCACCACCCTGGGAGGTAGGCTTGATATGCAGGGCAATATTTCCATCTTACTGTGGCTGGACCAGGGTTTTTAACCTCTCATGTTTTCTGGCAGGAGCGTGAAACATGGAGGGAAAAAAAATGAGGTCAAATATTATTATTATTTGAGACAGGGTCTCTCTCTCTCTGTTACCCAGGCTGGAGGGCAGTGGCGTGACCACGGGCTCACTACAGCCTCACCTCCCCGAGCTCTAGCGATCCTCCCACCTCAGCTTCCCGAGTAGCTGGGACTACAGGTGTGCACCATCATGCCCAGCTATTTTTATGTATTTTTAGTAGAGACAGGGTTTTGCCATGTTGCCCAGGCTGATCTCTAACTCCTGAGCTCAAGCGACTCACCCGCCTTGGCCTCCCAAGGTGCTGAGATTACAAGTATGAGCTGCTGTGCCCAGCCGACAAATACTGTTTTTGCTTTCAGAAATATCAGTGTGATAGAAGCTGTTCAATATTCATGGATGTTTCAGTACCAACTATAAAGTTGGCAAATCAAGTTCTAATGTGCTGGGTGGGGAGCTGGCACTGGCTGTATTTTTGCAAATTCCCAAGTGGTTTTTGAATGCTTCTAAGGATTTTATTTTACCCCATTCTTTTTAGATGTCTTTCTTGTCTGTAAAACTTAATTGACTTATCTCATTTAAAAATATTTTGTTTTTTGCTCTCAGACTTTTAGAGGACACTTGAAATTTTTGTAGAGGAAAGAGTTTCTAGAAATCTCTCATTCTCTAATAATCTGTAATTTGTTTATTCTGAGCAGATATGATCTATGTCTCTGGAGGCTTTGATGGAAGCAGGCGTCACACCAGTATGGAGCGCTATGATCCAAACATTGACCAATGGAGTATGCTGGGGGATATGCAGACAGCCCGGGAAGGTGCCGGACTTGTAGTGGCCAGCGGAGTGATCTACTGTTTAGGTACTGAGTCTGTGATGCAGGAATGGGAGATAACTCAATGGGTAGTAGATTGTGGGTAAGGGTTCCTTTTTAGCAGAATGAAGTTCATAGACTTCCCTTCAACTAAAACCCTGATGTGTCAATGTATTTTCTGTTAATTGGGATTATCATTTTCTTATAAGCAGAAAGTAGGGTGCTATCAGTTAGAGTTACTGGGACTCTAGTGGGAAAAATAAAATAATTAGTTGAAGCACTTGGAGAAAGGCTGTCCAGGAATAGGCATGAGGATTTACCACTCATCCTGCAGTGGTCTCTGTCTTCCAGGAGGATATGATGGCTTGAATATCTTAAATTCAGTTGAGAAATACGACCCTCATACAGGACACTGGACTACTGTTACACCAATGGCCACCAAGCGTTCTGGTAAGATCAGATCTGAGGGAGGAGACAACAGGCAGTGCTGTCAGACCTTTACGTATATAATAGTGATGCAGGGGACAAATTAGATTAATGTAAAAATGAGATTCTGCTCCTCCTTGTCTCTGTTTTCTCCAAATATTAGGATAAAGACAGTTTATACTTAAAACTAGATTATACATTTGAAAGCTGAAGCCTTCATGTCTTTGTTCTCTCCCTGTGTTTTAGAATACAATTTTGTCTGTGTAGCACATGTTAAATAAATGTTTGTTAAATAATGTTTCTAATGTATAAGAACAAAAGAGTAGCACCTTACCTTCACAAGAGCTTTTTGAAGTGGAGCAGGCTGAGACGTAGAAAAGGAGAAAACTCTGTGCCATTCTAGTTTACGTATTCTGAGTAAAAATCGCTTCAGAACCATAATCACAGTTCCTTTCCCTCCATCTATCTTTATTGCTGCCTTTTTTTCATTTCTTCCATTTCTGAGAAGGGTGTGGCTCTGAGTTAATGAGAGTAAAGAAGAGAACCATTTCTTTTTTCTTTTTCTTTTTTTTTTTAAGATGGGGTTTCACCATGATGGCCAGGCTGGTTTTGAACTCCTGACCTCAGGTGATCCACCCACCTCAGCCTCCCGAAGTGCTAGGATTACAGGCATGGGCCACCGCGGCCGGCTCTGAAGAGAACCATTTCTATTTATCTTTTATCATTTCAAATCCAGGCCAAAGGGTTTATAGATGGAATAACTTGTGCTGGACTAGATTATTCTAGGCCTGTCTAGGTCCAGTCCGTATCTCATCTACTCTAGAACTCAGCTGGCCATTAGTGACCATAGTTTATTTCTATAACTCAGATTCTAGGCTTAGTACCATTCATTTGCTAATGCCTTCATTTTCCCCAGGTGCCGGAGTAGCCCTGCTGAATGACCATATTTATGTGGTGGGGGGATTTGATGGTACAGCCCACCTTTCTTCTGTTGAAGCGTACAACATTCGCACTGATTCCTGGACAACTGTCACCAGTATGACCACTCCACGATGCTATGTAGGGGCCACAGTGCTTCGTGGGAGACTCTATGCAATTGCAGGGTGAGGATTTAAACAACTCCAGACTCAATATGTAACCAGAGCACAAGTCTATGTGATCTGATCCTTACTTTTGAATGGAGACAAGATTTAGGTAGGGGTAGACATCTCCAGTAGCAACTTGATTGTTTTTAATTAGATTTTTTAAATTTTTTTAGAGACAGTCTTTCTCTGTCATCCAGGCTGGAGTCTGAGTAGAGTAGCTGGGACCACAGGTGCATGCCACTGTACCACGCTAGTTTTTTATGTTGTCTAGGCTGATCTCCAACTCCTGGGCTCAAGCAATCCTCCCACCTCAGCCTCCCAAAGTGCCAGGATTACAGGCGTGAGTCACCAAGGCTCCAGTGGCAGCCTTAAGGAAGAACTTGTGTGGAAAGGAACAGAAGGCTAATTTCTTTCTTTAAATTTAATTGAGACAGAGTCTCACCATTTTTCCCAGGCTGGTCTCAAATTCCCTCCTAGGCTTAAGCAGTCCTCTTACCTCAGCCTTCTTCATAGTTGAGATTACAGGCAAGTGCCACTGCACACGGCTGACTCATTTTTTTCTTTTGCCTCTTTTCCACTCAGATATGATGGTAATTCCCTGCTGAGTAGTATTGAATGTTATGATCCTATCATCGACAGCTGGGAAGTCGTGACATCCATGGGAACCCAGCGCTGTGATGCTGGTGTGTGTGTTCTCCGTGAGAAGTGACCATTGTTGGAGCACCATTCAAAACTAGTGACCAGTCTGGTGGACAGTTAGTGGGAGAATCAAGAATCCTTTCCAGAATGTCTGTTTCTCAGTATGTGCACAGGGTGATTACAGGCACCAGTGCAGTGATGAATGTACTTATTTGACACATATTCCACCTTGTCCTGGTTATTGTTCCTGAGAAGGGTGGCCAACAGATACTCCAGGGAAAAGAATTCAGATTGAATGGATGTGAGAGACCAGATTGCCTCTCCCACTGCCTTGGGGAGCTGTTTCCTGTCTTTTCTAACTTACCACATGCTCAGTGTACTATGTGTATGTTGTGCCTCAGATGTTGCAGAGAACGAAGGTGAGTATAGCCTACTAGATGTGGGCAATATCCAGCCTAGATGATTGGAAAGGTACCAGTTTAAGTAAACTTGGTAAAATCCAAGTCTTTTTTTTTTTTCCCCCCTAAGAAAAGATACGTTTTCTAATCTACAGGTAGCTAGAGGCAACACAGTTCCATTCTAGAGGGAAACAGAAGGGAGAGCCCCATAAAACTTTGGGGGCAAGGGAGAGAGACTCATCCGACACTTCTTGTCGGGGATAGGGTTGGTATATCAGAATTGAGGTTAGAATAAGTGAATCAACTGAATTTGACGGAATGTGAGTGAACCTACAACAGCACTGAAGTATTACATAACCTGGAAGACTGAGAAGGGTTTATCATTTGAAGGATCTTTTTATTTCCCCAAGTCTTCCTAAAGTAGAATGTTACGCATTGTAGCACTGGAGACAGCGTAACAGTGAACAAATGCTGGGATAAGAGAAGATGGCATCAGTGTGGGAGTTCAGTATAACTGGGGTTAAACTAGAAGTACCTGTGATTCTACAGTCTTATTCCCTGCCAGGGCTCATCTAGCCATGGCAATGTATGCCTTGAATGGGGGTGAAAGCCTTTCTTTGTTGAATCAGATACTACTACACTGTTACACTTCCACACTATTTATTTGGGGATGGGCTGGGAGTGACAGTAGCCCAGTAGTTCAGCTACCTGATTACTGCCCATTCTTTTAGGAGTACACTTCTGCCAAGGAGTGGTTTGTACTGCTGTGTTTGGTACATTTAGTCTTTTTTCTGCTATAAGTTTCCCTGATCTGTCCTTTAGTGTAGATGTTATTCGTCACAGGACAGAATAATCAAGGACAACCAAAATCCTTTTGTCAGTTTCAGTACCTCAGCTATCAACATTTCTGAGCTATTATTCAATGTTCTCTATGTCATGGAGTGAAATTCTTGTTTTATGGGTATTGGGAGTGTGGGAATGTGATAAATAACCTTTGCTCTGAAATTCCATTTTTCCCTTTTTCCCTGAATCATATTGACCTACAGAGTTAATTTCCTTTGTATTTTTTTAAGAAAATATTAAAAATCAACGGTCTCAAATGCTGAGAGTTTGTGGCTAACCAGCATTGCCTTTAGCAGATACTTGGGAGGGAATGATGTAGGGATCAGCTGTAACTCTTGTGCTTCAGCCTGTTCATCTTGTGTGTTTGCCAACTAGTTCTGCTTTTTCTGTTGTAAGAGGCAGCCACTTTACACTATGGAGATTCTCATCAGTCAAATATTTACCTGATTTGCCATATTCATTAGCTCCTCTCATGCTTGGAGTTACTTGAAAACCAAAGGAGTAAAGAAGAGACATCTGGAATTCACTTAGCACCCGCTTGAATTTTAGGGTTTCATTCATGCCAGGCCTTTTTTCCATTTGCTTTGAATTATGAGTTGTGATACTAACAGCTATGCAGAAGGCCTGCAAAACTGCAACAATCCTGATGCTTCCAGAACAAAAGGAAGGAGAAGCCACAGGAAGTTATTTTCCCTAAAGATGCCTGCCAACTTTGGCAGATACATTGTGCCTGCTAATTAAACTACAGCCTGTAAAACATGTGGCTCTTCCTATCTCAAGAAGAGATCTAGGAGAGGCTGAAGGACTGATGGCTCCTATACTGTCTTCAGTGCTGACAAATTAGTTTCAGACCAATTTCACAAATAGTTCATACACTGCAGCCACTGAATCTTCTACAGAAAAATCAACACCTAAAACTTAATAGCTCCTTTTTCACTCTTTTCACAATCATACACACTTTCACGTGCTCACATACATACACAGAGATACCCCTAATTTGGTGAGTTCTCTTAATTTTTTTTTTTTTTTTTTTTTTTTTTTTTTTTTTTTTTTTTAGACAGAGTCTCGTTCTGTAGCCAGGCTGGAATGTAGTGGTGTGAACTTGGCTCACGGCAACCTCTGCCTCCCAGGTACAAGCGATTCTCCTGCCTCAGCCTCCCAAGTAGCTAGGACTGCAGGTGCGCATCACCACACCTGGCTAATTTTTTGTATTTTTAGTAGAAATGAAGTTTCACTATGTTGGCCTGGGTGGTCTCAATCTCTTGACCTCGTGTTCCACCCTCCTCGGCCTCCCAAAGTGCTGGGATTACAGGTATGAGCCATCACGCTTGGCCAACATCTTAATTTTTTCAGCTCCCACCACTGGCAACCAGCTACTTAGTTATCTAACCTAGGAAAACCAGCAGTTGCTTTGTGTCACCCCCATCGCAATACAGACATCCAGCTAGTTTCTAAGTTCTATACCATTGTAATTGTTCCTAGTCCATTCCCCTATCTTCACTCCCTCTGCTAGCTTCAGGGCCTTTCTCAGCTAGACCCTAAGGTAACAGCCACTTGATATCCTTACTCTATTCCTCTCTTCAATCTAGCCTCTCCATTTAGTTATAGGTTATCTTTCTAAAGCATGGAAGTACTTAACATACAACAGACAGTAAATATTGAAGTTATTTCTGGGCCTAAAATTCCACAGATTCCCATTGTTCATATTGTAAATGTTAAATTCCTTAGCATGACGTTAGATCCATGGAGCTCTGGGCCCTCTGTACCTTCCTGATTTTACCTACCTCTGTTATCACTTCTTCCCAGGTTTGTGGGTCAGCCACAGCGGTCTGTTAACCATTCCTAAATTTGTTCTCACCCTTGTTCATATACAATACTGTTCTGTCTGCAATAATCTTGCTTTCCTGACAATCCCAGTTAAGAGCAGTGGCTTTAGAGTTGTGCTGCAACCTTTCTGATCTTTACCTTTCTCATTTTGTGCACAAGAGGACCGACCCCATAAGGAAACTGATAATTTAATACGTTTCTAAAGGCGCTTTGACACATTTGCCGCATAGTAAATGGTCACAATGATTAGAAGCGGCCAGAAATTACAGCTTCCACACACCTTTTTTCCACTACCCAAAAGATACCTGCCCCTCTAAGTAGTTTCCTATAGAAGAAGCTAATGTGGCTAAAATTTGATGAGAAGTCCGACCCAGATTCCCTTCACATTGCCCCCAATAAAGTCCCCATTCATTCAGGAGCCTAAATTCAGATCTCGGAAAACTAAACAGTACGGTCAACCTAATGATTTATTTGTTTAGGTCTTACTATTAAGCACAGTGACCAGGTGGGTATGGAGATGTGTCACTGGTCCCAAGAAGTGTCCCTGTCACAAAGCCTGTCGACACCTAGCCACTCAGGTTAGGCAATGAATGAAGGCGCCTGCGTAGTAGAGTCCAGAGCGGGGAAGCGGGCGCCTGCGCACAGAAGTAGTGACCGTCCGCTCCCCGCCCCCGCCTCTGCCAAACCGCGCCAGCGCAGTGAGGATCGAGCCAGCAGAGACAGCGCCTGCGCGGCCGTGGCTGAGGAGCCCGTGGCGGCAGCGGCGATGGAACCGGCAGAGCAACTGAGCGAGTTAGTGTCAGCAGAGGGCCGAAACCGGAAGGCGGTGCTGTGCCAGCGTTGCGGCTCCCGGGTGCTGCAGCCAGGGACCGCTCTCTTCTCCCGCCGACAGGTAGGGAGGCAGGTTGGAGGGCGTTTACACTCGCAGTCTCGCAGACGAGCCGCCGCCGCGGTCAGAATCTGAACCCCAGCTCCTCAATTTCCGGAGACCGCGCCCTCCTCGCGGGGCCTTAAGCCCCGCCCCTCGGGCCTTCGCTCTGCGAGGCTCCGCCCCTGGGGCCGCCGGCAGCGAGGGAGAGAACCGGATCCCGCCCCGGGATCTTCTGCTGCGGAGCCCATTCCTGGGCTACCCGGTCCAGTCTGCCCGGCCCTCCGCCCCCGGGGCCGCCGCGAGCGCGGGCCCTGCGCCCTGCCGCAGTCCAGGGCCGTTGCTTCGCGGCCGCGTAGAAGGGAGTCGCCCCATTCCGGCTCCCGGAGCTCCCGCCAGCCTGCAGGAGCTGGCAGGTGCCTCTCGGCCGCCGCTCACCGCGGATGTGGCCGGGTTCCTGTTCTGCTCCAGACCCCACCCGCCAGTCCTGAATTCTCCGTCTCATTTACGGCAGGCACCTGTTTCACGAAGGAGCCCCAGAAACAACTGGTGTAGGGGACGCGGCAAAATCACCCCGGTAACCTGCATACCGAGGAAGTTAACGTTTTCCAGATGAATTGTATTTCAAATGCAGTAGATAGATACCTGAAGTAAATTTCAAAGAAAAACAGATTTTTTTTCCTTGAGTTTAGGGATTTTAATACCCTTCCTACCACTATGACCCCAAGCAAGAAAGTTGAAAAAAAAAAAAATTATTTCGGTGCCGGGCGCGGTGGCTCACGCCTGTAATCCCAGCACTTTGGGAGGCCGAGGCGGGTGGATCACGAGGTCAAGAGATCGAGACCATCCTGGTCAACATGAGGAAACCCCGTCTCTACTAAAAATACAAAAAATCAGCTGGGCGTAGTGTCACGTGCCTGTAATCCCAGGAGAATTGCCGGAACCCAGGAGGCGGAGGTTGCGGTGAGCTGAGATCGCGCCATTGCACTCCAGCCTGGGTAACAAGAGCGAAACTCCGTCTCAAAAAAAAAAATTATTTTGGTCAACTCTGTATTGAAGTGCAAGTATAAAGTCGTTTCAACCATATGGACATCCTGTCATTCAAAATTATTTATAAAAATATGCAGATCATTTTATAATTTCATGTGGTTGAACAGATCGTGGAGTGTAATGTCTAGTAGAGGAGCAAGAATTCCCCTCATACCTCCAAAACAGGCTTTCGTCAAAGGTGGAAAAAAGGAATCTGTGTATGTTGTTTTGTAGGTATATTGATGACTTTTGATCTAGATATTGGTGGAGCGCCCAGCGTTCTTTTAAGACTTCCAAAGTTTGGGAGTAGAGTTGTCAATTAATTTTACCAAGTTAGTGGCATTATGGAGTCACTGGAAAGAACATGGATCTTGGAATTAAAATATACGTGGAATTAAATCCTGACTTTATCATTCATTAACACTGAAAGAGTTATTTAGGCAGGGCGCGGTAGCTCATGCCTGTAATCCCAGCACTTTGGGAGACCAAGGCTGGTGGATCACCTGAGGTCAGGAGTTTGAGACCAGCTTGGCCAACGTGGTGAAACCCTGTCTCTACTAAAAAAAAAAAAAAAAAAAAATTGGCATGGTGGCACGCACCTGTAATCCCAGCTACTCTGGAGGCTGAGGCAGGAGAATCGCTTGAACCTGGGAGATGCAGGTTGCAGTGAGCTGAGATTGCATTACTGCACTCCAGCCTGGGCAACAGTGAGACTGTCTCAAATTTGAAAAAAAAAAACAAGTAAAAAATTTTTAAAAAAGTTATTTAAGCTCCATGAGATGTACGGTGCTATTGTGTAAAACAGGGGTGTCCAATCTTTTGGTTTTGCTGGGCCACATTGGAAGGAGAATTGTCTTGGGCCATACAACATACACTAACAGTAGCTGATGAGCTAAAAAAAAAAAAAAAAAAAAAAAAAAAAAAAAAACCTCACAATGTTTTAAGAAAGTTTCCGAATTTGTTTTGGGCCGCATTCGAGCCATATGCAGGCTGCGGGTGGGACAAGCTTGGAAGCTTGGTGTTAAATGATGATGATGATAGAGGGAAGAATTTGTATGAAAGCACTTAGCACTGTGCCTAGTATATAGCCCATTATATAGGTTAGTTCCCATACTCCTTTTCCATGGCAAGGTTCTAGTTTTTTATTTATTCATTTGTTTTTGAGACGGAGTCTTGCTCTGTGACCCAGCTGAGAGTGCAGTGGCACAATCTCAGCTCACTATAACCTATGCCTCCTGGTTTCAAGCCACTCTTCTGCCTCAGCCTCCCTAGTAACTGCGATTACCAACATGTCCAGCTAATTTTTGTATTTTTAGTAGAGATGGGTTTTCGCCATGTTGGCCAGGCTGGTCTCAAACTCCTAACCTCATGCTCTGCATGCCTCGCCCTCCAAAATGCTGGGATTACAGGCATGAGCCACAGCACCCAGCCTGGTTTTGTCTAATTTTATAAACTGACATAAATTAAGAGAGACTTCTTAATGGAGTTTATAGTTTTATAAAAATTCTTAATTTTTTTTCATATTTATTGATTTTA